ATTTTCAGTTCCCTAATAAAATGATAAAAACAGTAGCTAATCCTTCATGCTTTCTGCAGTGTTCTAAGTATTTTTTTTCCCACATGGTAACTAACTTAATGGTCACAAAATCCTAAGAGACAAGTCCTGTTCCAGCAGGGTTAGAAGCCTGAGCATATGTGCCAGGGGGTGATATCACAAAGTCCAGTAAGGGAAGGTCAGAGGGTCACTTGAACCTGCCATTCTCCCTGTGGTTTCTGTTTTGTAAGTACACTATGAAAGACAGCCAAAAGGTATAGGACTGCAGTTCATGAAACTCTAGAAGCTTGATTCTGATGTTTCTAGAAGTGGGGCTTTTGGAGTCTTGACTTCTCTAGCTCAGGAATGATGACACCTGTCTCAGACAGCACAGGAAGTAAGTGATTGTGAGGATGAGGCGAAACATGTGATACAGTTTGTGAACAGTAATAGAAAGTTTTAGAAAGAACTTCACTTGATGGTGGAACAGAAAGAAAAGAATGGTGGTGTGAAGGCAGTATGAAAAATGTCACCTCCACAGTATCACCCAGATCACCTGATATTTCATTAGCTGAACTGCACAGAGAGTTTCATTTTGTTGTAGCTTAGTTTTTGTTTTTAGTGAATTAATTACAGACATTTAAAAATGGAGAGATGTTTCATAACAATTTGCATTTCTGCTTTGTCTTGAAAAAAGCAGAAGGTCTGGTGAGACCGACCTGTACTGCTTCATGATGGCTGTGGTCTGGAGCTACAAGCAGCTGCCTCCAACAGACGGGCTTAGTGCCACATCCAGACCCACCCTGTCCCTGATCTCCCATGTGGTTAGGGGCAGACTACAACATGAACTTAGCTGGCCCCAGGCTTCCAGCTCCATCATGTCACGTCACATCACGTTCTTAGGGCATGTCACACTTCCCCAGTCAGGTTTCTGAAATGGTGCTGTGTAGCTCAGATGAGAGAATTCCAGACACACTGCAAGCCATGCTCATGGCCTCCAAGGCACTACATATTTCTCTCCCATAGAAAGCTGCAAAGGCTTTGGTTAGAGTTGAGTAGCCCGTGTTACCGCAGTGTGCTTGTTTCAGGTGTCAAGTTTCATTTTGTTTGTTTTTAAAGTAAGCTCTACGCTCAACTTGGGGCTTGAACTCTGGACCCTGAGATCAAGAGTTACACCGTCTGCCAACTGAGCCAGCCATGTGCCCCCTGTTAGGTTTCTTTTGAAGCCTGCTGTTTTCTACCAACAAAGGTAGTTGAGGGTAGTGGGGTTTCGGGGTGACCCAGACCCAGGTTTAAGTCCCAACTCTGTCATTTACTAGCCATGTATTCTTGGGAAATTTCTAACCTCTTACGCACAGGATGGATGCCAGGCGTCAAGGAGAGGGTGTCTGCTTAGAGCCTGTGTTTTTGCTGAAGACTTCCTTATTCATCTTTTGTGACTAGTTTGATGGGCTACTTTTAATACCAAGTAGTCAGTCTTCTCTAAGCAATGTAAAAAAAAGATAATTGTGTTTTAAGGCAATTTGAAAATGGTTGTCTCCCTCCCATTACCAACAACAGTATGATTTCAGGCAAATTACTTAATACCTGAGGACCTCAGCTAATTCACTAATCAAAAGGAAATATCTGTGCCCCACTTCATAGAGTTTGTTGGGAACATTAAATGATATCATTTAAATGAAAGCGCGGAAGTCATATGGGCTTAAATACAGAGTAATCAGACATGAAAGCAGTGTTTAAAATTTGTTTGCTTTTAACAGCGTACTTTAAAACAGTTTTTCCTTTAGGGATTCCCAACAGATGGGAATAACTCTTAAAGCTGGGAGAAGGCCAGGAGGTGAGTCTGTCTGGCCTTCCCTCTCCCTGAGGCACCTGTTCTGATGAAGCTCACCCCTAACATTTGGGCCCAAGGCAAGAGTGCCTAAGAAAGCATAGCTGTCATATGTCTAAATACCTAAAAGTGATAAATCAGGCCAACAAATTGTTAAGCCAAGTTAAGTTCTACTATCTGATTATAACATTTGCCTTCATAATGCACTGGAAAGCCAGGTTTGAATTTCGGATTCTTCCACTTCTTGGAATTCTGTGCCAAAATGGGACTGACCAAGGAGTTGTGGGCCCCTAAATGCCTTTTCTTTCCACTCCTGGCTCCATCCCCTACAGAAAAGGAGCTTTGAGTGTTATGTGTATGGACACCCCAACCTCCTTGCTCCATCTCTGACTGTATCCTACAAAGAGTAGCCTTTGACCACTCCTGAGCCCAGGGGGTGTGCAAGTGGTTGTATAGTTCCCCTTAGGAGGCCAGATCTGGGGAAGACCCCCCCCCCCCCCCCACCAAGGCCATGGAGATAGGCTCAGAGCTATCAGGGTAGGGTATTCTGGGGTCCTGAGTTCTTGGAGCATATTCTAATTTTTTTTAACTTTTTAAATTTATTATTGAGAGACAGACAGAGACAGAGCATGAGCATGAGAGGGGCAGAGAGAGGGAGAGACATAGAATCTGAAGCAGGCTCCAGGCTCTGAGCCATCAGCACAAAGCCCAATGCGGGGCTCGAACCCATGGAGCACGAGATCATGACCTGAGCTGAAGTCGGCTGTTTAACCGACTGAGCCACCCAGGAGCCCCAAGCATATTCTAAAAGTAGGGGTAAGGGGTTTAGGCCCTCGGTGGGCATGTCCCTTTCACTTGAGGGTTTCTCTTCCTGTGAGAAAGGGAATAGTTAGAAAGAGGGCCAGACAGTAGGGCCCTTTAAAATTTGGATCCCAAATTAAGGGCCCTTCCTGCCAATATCTAAGGCCAGTGCTACTCTGAGCCCTGGGGCCCCAAGAAGCCCAGTATGTGGACTGATATCTTCTTTTACAGCTTTTCACATTTATACTCTTGAGTCCTGTGGTTCTGGAAGTGTTCTTTCAACACAATATAGCTGAAAGTCCCAATTTAGAAATGAAAGGATGTAGGGGCGCCTGGGTGGCCCAGCTGGCTAAGCGTCCGACTCTTGATTTCAGCTCAGGTCATGATCTCACAGTTCGTGGGTTCAAGCCCTGCATCAGGCTCTGCATTGTCAGTGTGGAGCCTGCTTAGGATTCTGTCTCCCTCCCTCTCTGCCCCTCCTCCACTTGCTCGTGCTCTTTTTCAAAGTAAATAAATAAACTTTAGGAAAAAAAAAAAGAAATGAAAAGGATGAAAAAGCTTGGTGTCTAATATGAGAGCTCTGGCCAGTTCATTCTGTTGACCACTGAGGCTGTCAAGCAAGGAGCAGCTGTGGCCAGCTTGAGCCCCAACCAAGAGGACATACAAACTCTGTAAGCATTTTTTCTGTCAAGCTGGGTATCGCACAGTTTCTTATGTAGAGAGTTGTACTTCCCTGTTTTCAGCCCTGAGTCTCTGCACTGCCTGGTGTCTCCAAGTCCAGAGTTTCTCCTCAAACTGTGCAGAGATAGGCAGATATAGAAGACCTGGAGATCCAATGATTTTGCGTACAAACTTTGAGCCAGTTACCCTGTTGTCAGCACCATGCCTCATCTGTCTTCTGCAACACTGGTGTTTTCAAATTTTGAGCTCCTTGGGGGTCTCCTGGACATGATGGCTCACTTTCCCACAGTAGCCCTTCTGTCGCAGTTTAGGTTGTGCCCCTCTCTCTGGCTGTCAGGAAGCCCTATTTCACGTATTTTTCATTTTTTTAAAAGTTGCTGCAATCCCTGATCTGCTCGTGTCATCACCACTTTTTCCCCTTGTGATTTAATATCCTTTGAATTCCTTTACTGTTTGTTCTGTGGCATTTCAGGAGGGAGAGGAGGAAAATAGGAATGGCCAATTCACCATGTTTGAGGATTTAAATAGTACTAAGAAAGTAGCAGGGCACTGGTGTTCATTGAGGGTTTCATCTACATCCAGATGGCCTCAGATCCCTCCTTTCTTGCATTCTTTCTTTCTCTTTCTGGATTTCAGAGAACTTGGGGTTCACATTGTCAGATTGGCTTCAGGTCACACTGGGCCAGTGGATGCAAAGCCCTCATTTTCCAAACAGCAGTTATCATCTGTTTCTAGAGCCTAGAATTGAACCCCATCTCATAACGCCAGTGAAAGCTGGTTCTCCAGTCATTTTGGAAATGTGATCTGTGTGGTTTTTTTTCCCCAATTAAGACTCTCCTGTTCTTGAACTTGCTCGGCACAGTTTAAGACAGACATAACGGATAGATGCAATTTTTATTCATCTCGTCTCCTTAGTGAGTTCTGTGGTGAGTTAAACCCATTTATGGTTCTTACTGATATGGAAGTACATGCGAATATTCATTTGCACAATGATGTGCTTATTATTATATTCTTATCTGTGCATATATAAGTCTTTAATTTTGGAAAAATCCTTCATCTTTTACGTTAACTTTCCCCTCCATTTGCAGAAGGGGTTTTTAGTTTTTGAGAAATAAAAGATCCCATTTTTGAGAACTTCTTTGGGAGTAATTTTAAGAAAGACGCCTTGAGACTAGAGTGTGTTACAAAGGCAGCACAGAGCATACTTAAATCATGTCTCTGAGCGGTGGTTATTTTTATCAGATAGGAGAGAAAACACAGGCAGATGAAGTATGGGTTTCAGGTACCTAAGGCACTTCTGTGGAAGAAGGACCTCACGTTCCATGTAACTCCTCTGGGCAGGCCTAGGACCTGTGTTGCAAGTCTCAGGAAGATAAGTGCTGATCATGAGTCACAATCTGACCACTTGAGCTGCTTCGGAGAGAGTTAGACCCCTGTCTCTGGAGGAGTTTACATGAAAGCTGTTTGACTCTTTGGCAGAGAGGTTAAGGAAGGGACCAAGCATCCAACTTCAACATTCACCCTATGACTTTTAAGTTTCAGATTTGGAGACTTGGATCTGGAGTTTGAGAGAAATGAATATATATTGTTTTGTCTTCATTTCCATGGCAGAGCCTATGAGACTTTTTGAACTGTTTCCAAAATACCTTCCCAGATGCCATTTCTGAATTGTGCATCCTTTCTCTTGCAGGAGAAAATGCAGAAGTTTCCATGGATGTTTCCCTGGCTTACCGTGATGATATGTTTGCTGAATGGACTGAAATGGCCCACGAGAGAGTGCCCCGGAAACTCAAATGTACCTTCACATCCCCCAAGGTAGGATGCCTTGGTGTCTAAGTTGATAGGGTTTTTATTTGGGTTCCAGGTATGTGGGAAGATTTACTTTACATACTCACAGGTATGTTCCTTAGTATGAATGACCCACAAAGGTTAGTCGTCATCCTTTGTCTTAGTAGAGAAAAGGGCAATGTGGTGATTGTATGTCCCTGTTCAGGAAGAAGGAACAGAAGAAAGAATGTCTGTTTGAAGTGATGTGGTTGTTTCTCTGAAATCGCTCCATACAAATAAACCCTTGGTTCTTAAGCACTGAGAGTGTCTGAAGAATGTTGCTAAGTTATTTTGAGGTGTGAGAATCTGTTCATATTGGATCAATGCTTGTGTCTGCTTCTCTGATTCTTAGGCATTCCTTTGTTGCCAGAGTTAATGTGCAGGTACAAAGACTAAAAATCCCAGTGAATACCACATACAAAAAGAGGCCCTGAGGGAGGAAATCTAATTTCATTTGAGACCTGGGTCTTCTAACCCATTTTTAAGGCTCTCCCTTCTCTGGTTCATCCAGGAGGACTCTTTCAACCGCCCACAGGAGGGAGTTACTCTCCTGCATTGAAAATAAGGAGACATTTTGTTTTGGGCAAAGGCCTTTAATTTTATGATTCCTCATAAATGAAAATGCAAAGATTGACTCAGTGACCCTCAAAGGATAGTAGGATTTGATGGTATAAGGACCAGGTCACAGTTAGCCAGGGGCCCTTTTCATTGCCAAGTGCTGTCCTCACACACACCTTCCCAGGTTCTGACTCCCCTGCCCGTACTGACTAAAGTTTCTGTGAAGATGAAATGGAACCATGGTTATTGTCACTCATGGTTACATTCCTTAAGGGTATTGACATGGAGCACCATCAGCTAGGTGACCTCTGATGTCCCTTCAGGTACAGAAATTGTCTCATTTTTTCTGTGTGAAGTGCATGAGAGACCCAACAGCACTGAAACACTTTCTTGATTATGTCATCTGGCATCTTCGGATCAGTTGCTTTTAAAGGACTTGGGCAGCTTTGTAATACCTGCTTCATCAATCAGTTTAGTACTTCTCTCCTAGCATTGGCCTTTCCTGGCCTCACTTTTGGCTACCGCTGCAAAGATGGGGTGTCCTGTGGAATGAATGGTAGGAATGGTAGGTTGAAGCTTCTGGGTATCATGCCCCAGCTGTCCACCCTACACTGAAGAGGAGTAAGATGGGGAAGGGCAGGTTCATAGTATTACCATTTAGTTAAAAGTGTGGATTTGGAACAAAACACACTTGGCTTCAGTTCCAGGCTGTATCACTTACTGACTGCATGGCCTTAGGCAAACGTACTTAATCTGTCCAAGCTTAATTTTCTCATCTGCAAAGTGGGATAATAATAGCTGCTTTGGGTTTCTTTATAAGGATTAAATGAGATGGTGGACACAAGCAGGGTGACCTTATTATTTCATATCCTCTCTGGGATATGTTTGGGAATGAAAGAGGAAGTTTCACCAGGTGGGCCACCAGGACTGTTGTGGGCAACCCACAAACCCTATATATAGGGGAACCTGGTATTTATGAACTCTCCCTTCCCCAGGTTCCCTAGACCAGAACTACAGAAAGTGTGGTCTGAGGACCAGCAACACCAGTATGACCTCGGAGCTTGTAGGAAATGCAGATTCCCAGGCCTGGTTCACACCCAAAACTTAGTAAGTCAAAATCTCAGGGTGTAGGACCAAGGAATCTGTGTTTTAACAGGATTTCAATTCCTGCAGTTTCATGGAGTTTAAATGTCACTGCCCTAGACCCTCTGCTGTCTGCCAAATGTAGTACCATCCCCTAAAAAAATCATCTGGAATTGTTTGGGGTAGGTACTTGGGGGTAATCTGTAGGTGAAAATGAATGGTAGGGAGAAACCTGAGGTAGCAGGAGAGAGGAATATCTGACATTTTCAAATCTTTATATGCAGTGGGAAAAATTAATTAAAACCTTTCTGTCACTGCAAGTTGATTGCATCTTTCAGAGGTGAGACTGGTTGGATATCTAAGCTCAAGTATATGAAGCTTTGGGGTATGGAATTTCATCCTCAGAAAAGGGAAAAGTCATTTCTTGCCTCACTTACACACTTGGAGGGCGCTGAGAAGCAGAGTGAGGGGGAGGTCATTAAGAAGCCTGGAACTGCTTCTTAATGATGGCTGCTTAATTATCTTTAGGATGTGTTGATCCCTTTCAAGAAAGATATTAAACCTTGAAAAGTGTGAAGGAAATGAATCATCAAATCTCTGCTTTTTGATTGCAGTGAAATTTAGTCTTGAGTCTGAAGATTAAATGAGAAATTGCTTTAAAGCTTTTTAGTCCCTGGTGGATTGTGAGTTGGGAAAAAAAAAAAGTCAAGTTGCCACCTGCTGTAATTTGTCCTAATTAGCCAGTCTCATGCTGGAGTTGGGGGAGGACTGAGGGGGATGGGGAAAGGAAGGGGGGGGAGTGCCTTTCTTCCTAAATGCCCTAAATACTGGCAGAGGCAGAACCTTGGTGCATAAGGATAAGTCCCCAACAGGAGACAGTGAATTTGTCTCGGAGACAGGTAGGCCAGGCCAAGATCCCAGAATCTGATGTGCCTAATTTGTTGAAGGTAAATTTGTCTCATGAAGTGGTAGCGTTACCCTCTCTATAAGGATGAGGAAGTGGAGGACACTGAGAGAACCGTGAATGGGGAATTAGAAGGAACCCTGGAGATCTTGTTTTACTTAGGAGGAAAGTGAGGCTGAATGAGGCAGATGACCTTCTCAAGGAATCCAGCAGGGGGCCAGATCAGGGCTAGAATAGAAGTCTCCTGACATGACGTTCAGTGCCTTCCCTACCACAGACACATGCCTCAGTACATGTCTGGGGCAACATCACTGTTTTCTCCCTGCTGTACTTGAGGGTCCTCTTCCCCATCAGAGTTAGAGGCTGGATTTGGAAGACCTATGTCCCCCAACCCAGTACTGCTACTACTTTGGGACCTTGGGCGAGAAATACAATCAAGTCAGTGGCAATAGACTAAGTAAGTTTTGTTCCCTTCCCTCTCAAACCCTCAATTTCTAGAAATAAAACAAGACCCTGAAGGAAAGCACATAAGAAAATTCTTTCTTGCTGTTAACATAGAGGATAATTAACTTCTTCAGTGTGGATTAATCTGAGGCCAAATTTGAGCAGGGTAGTTCCTGCAGAGCCCCAATACTTGCCCTGATTTATAAGTGTAAAGGAAAGGAGTAGAGAGGAGAGAAGGAATCTACATAAGAAGAATCATCCAGTCTGCAACTGAAGTTTGGAAAAGAAGCAAAAAGCTTTCGACAGAAGAATTGTTTTAAATCTCATAAGCCAAGTCTAGTCAACGAATAGTTCTGAAAGAGTCCTTCAAACCTTAGTGGATGAAAGACTATTATGATTGATTTGTAATGTCTGCTATGAGTGAGGAAGGGAAGCGTGGAAACATAAAAGCCAGGTATTAGCCTGCTGTACCTCTACTTTGGTCTCTGTCTCTATACAAAATTCTGTTTATTGCACTCTAAGCTCTGTCCAATAAAGAATTCTCCAAGATCACCAAAGGGTGAGAGACTCTTCATACACCAGTCGGATTGTGGATTACTTGTTATCTTCCTTCTGATTTCTCCACTGGACTTTTTACTCTAAAGATGTACAAAAAAAATTATGTTGGTCCTGAGAATATAGGCTTAGGAACAGCGAATTAGGTCTTCCCTATCACTTGGTTAAGAGGTGTACAGCAGGAAAATACTGAAGCTGGCATATAAACCCTACATCGATGGCAGACACTCATCTCTTTTATCAGGGAAAAGTCCCTAGCTACTAAAGCTGATGCCTCTACATGCCCATATTTACTCCCCTACCCTGACCCCTCAGCAGGGCCACATAGCCGGGAGTCCTGGTGAGGTAGAGCAGAATTTAGTTTTCAAAAGCAACCTACACCCCTACTCTTTAATGTCTCACAACCATGCTTTCTGAGCAGTAGCTCTTCAATCATTGGCAGGAAGTCCAAGAGGCTTTTCTAGAAATTGGGCTAAATTTGGCTTAACTAAAATTTCTGCTCCCTTCTGCCATCTAACCTCTAGGGCAGTTAGGAAGCTTCAGAGGCAGAAAATTCCAAGTTGGCACCTCTGACAACCTAATCCCATTATTACCTTTTATCCCTTCTATCTTCCCCAAATTCTGAGTGTTCCTTGGCTTGCTTCTTTTTCTATCAAATCAATAACAAGAAGATATTTTCACCTTCTTGTAGCTTCAGGCAAAAGCCGTGAAAATAATTACTCTTGGCATCCAAGAGTGTGATGAACATTTCAGAAGTTGACTGTTCCATGCAGCCAACAGTCACGGAATAGTAGTGGTCTCCCATGATGTGCTGCAAATAAAAAGCCCTTAATAGGCCTGGTAGATCAGGTTATTCTGATGTGAAGCTTAATGCGGACTGAAGAACTGAGAAAGCGTTTGTTAAGAGAGGAGATTTCTGTTTTTTATCTAAAATTTTCTGGTTCCACTTCAAATGTGGCTGGGTCTTTTTTTTGGGGGGGAGGGGTGGAGGGAGCAGCCATTGGATACCATGCCTCCAGTGTGCCCTATTATCTGTAGCTCTGAGGTATACCTTTAAGCATTAGCTTTTCAGCATTGGTGATATGAGGCGAAGGTAAGGCAATTTAGACATAGTCTGTTGGAAATAGTGATTCTGTCTCAAACTCTCTGCTCTTCTTCCAGACCCCAGAGTATGAGGGTCGTTACTATGAATGTGATGTCCTTCCTTTTATGGAAATCGGGTCTGTAGCTCATAAGTACTACCTTCTGAACATCCGGCTGCCTGTGAATGAGAAGAAGAAAATCAATGTTGGAATTGGGGAAATAAAGGATATTCAGTTGGTGGTAAGTAAATCTACTGGGTCCAGGCAGCATGTGACATTAGAACACCGGCTCAGAACAGTGGTTTGTGAGCATGTGTGTTGGAAAGTAACTCCATCTCACCCTTGGAATCTCCGTGTGCCCATTGCGTCACCTGAGAAATAGAAATGATGGCTGAGATTTAAATTGACATGAGAGATTACAGAAATGGAAAGTAATGCAGTTATTGTACCCATTTAAGATTTTATTATAATGGTCATGATTGTGTAATAATACCAAGATAAAAGTAATTTTTCTTCACATGTCTCACCTTGCAAGGACAAATGTTTCTTTTTTTCTTTAAGTTTATTTATTTATTTTGAGAGGGAGAGCAGTGGAGGGGCAGAGAGGGAGAAAGAGAATCCCAAACAGGCTCTGCGCTGTCAGCACAGCACCCTATGTGGGGCTCAAACTCACAAACTGTGAGATCATGACCTGAGCCAAAACCAAAAGTCAGATGCTTAACCAACTGAGCCACCCAGGCACCCCCCTCCTCTTTCTTTTCTTTTTTCTTTTTTAAGTTTATTTCAAGCACAAATGTTAAAGGTAGCAATGGTGTTTTTTAGGTTCTTTCCATTTTATTTGTTTAACAGGCAAAAAAAAAAAAAAAAAGAACATGGACCAAGAGTCTTTTTTATCTAAAAAAGTCACATAAGAAATGCACATTTATTGTAGAAAATTAGGAAGCAAAAGTAAACACAAAAAATAACATAAAAATTGCCCATAATATCTAGAGAAATAATCACTGTTGAGGTTTTGATATATATCCCTACAGACTTTTTCTATACAGATAGAAAGATACATGCATATAGTTTTTCCAAACAAAAAAAAATCATACTCAACTGACTTCTTTGTTCCTTGCTTTTTTTTTTTTGTTTAATAGTATATTGTGAATATAATATAAATATACTTTGCAATACTGTGTAGCATTCCACTGTATAGATTTACCTTAACACATTTTACTGTCCCAACATTTTGGGAGCTATCTTAAAATAGCTCCAATTTTTCAATAAAAAAGTCTCACAGAAAAATCTTTAATCATGCTCTTAGTGATTCCCTTTGTATAGAGTGGGTCCATTTTTTTTTTGCCTTTTATTTAGATTTCTTACAGTGCCTGAGGAGGGGGCAGGGGAAGGATGAAGAGGGTACATGCTATGAATATTAAAGCTCTTGATCTTGAAAGTTCAGCAGAAAAGATCTCTTTTCACTTCTCCCCAAAATGCATTTTCTGGTAGAAAATAACACTAAGATATAGTCACCTTCAAAATTATGATTGGTCTTTGTCTAGGGAATCCATCAAAATGGAGGCTTCACCAAGGTGTGGTTTGCAATGAAGACCTTCCTTACGCCCAGCATCTTCATCATTATGGTGTGGTATTGGAGGAGGATCACTATGATGTCCCGACCCCCAGTGCTTCTAGAAAAGTAAGAACTGATTTCAGAGCACTCTTAAAGAACACTGGCATTCTAGATCTGCCTGCCATCGTCCTGGTTTTGCTGGGGTTTAGTTCAAGTGGTCATTGTGGTACTTAGGCAGGTGATTAGACCAGGAATCATCCTGGACTCTTTTTACTCCTTCAGCTTTCACATGCAACTTATTATTAAATCCTAAGGATTAAACCTCTCTCACATTTCTGTTTCTCTATTCTGTCTTTGCTCTTCATTCCCGTGGTCTGAGTCAGATACTTCTCTCTGTCACTGTGGACAAACTGCCTTGCTCCTAAGCCCTACCCTCTCACCTCCATAAAGATGATATGCTCGTAGATATATCCCCTTTCTGTCCCACATTACTGACTTTTCCTTTCTGCTGGATTATTCCCATTAACATACAAACACACTATACCATTTCACATTCTTAGACAAAACTCTTGATTTTCCTATTTCCCCCTGAAGCCACCACACCGTCTCTCTACTCCTCTTCATATCAAAACTCCTCAAAAATTTTGTCTGTATATCTCCTCCACCTGTTCTTTCTTGGGCCCATTCCACCCCTCAGTAAAACTGCTCTTGACAGGATCTCCAGTGACCTTCACATTCTAAATCCAATGGTCACTTCTCAGTTCTCACTTGACTCATCACCAGTATTGATGTAATTGGTCATTTCCTTTTTCTTCACAGAGCCTTCTTCACCCTTCTCATGGTTATTCTCCTCCTTTGCTGATCATCACTGTCTCCAGTGCTGTTTCCAACCATCTTTTCAACCTCTTAAACTTGGGAGCCAGTGCTCAGTCTTTGGGCCTCTTCTCTCTATTAGCTATGCCTGTTCCCAGAGTGATGTCGTCTAGTCTTGCGGTCTTAAAAATCACCTACATTCTGATGACTCTTAATTTATATCCTCAACCTCAGCCTCTCTCAGCCCTCAACCCAAATATTCCAGCTGTTTATTTAACATCTTCACTTGCACAAAAATGTAACACATGCAAAGAACAACATTTTATTTCCTCTGCTTCAAACTTGCCCCTCTCCTAGGCATCCCCACTGAAGGAAATGGCAGCTCCATCCTTTCAGCTGCTCAGGTTAGAGAAGTAGGAGTCATCCTTTACTTCTTTTTTTCACACCCCTCGTCCAACCCAGCTGGAAATATCACCGTATCCATTGCCACCACCATAGTCTAACTCACTTTCACTTCTCATTTCTCACCTGGATGACTAGAAATAGCCTCTCAATTGCTCTTCTTGCTTCCACTCTTGTCCTTCCTATAGTCTATTCTCATAGCAGCCAGTGTTCACTTTCAAGTATAAATCAGATCTTGTCACTCCTCTGCTCAAAGCTCTCTGTTGGCTTTTCATTTCAAATCCTCTGATTTCATCTCCGATCCTCTCTACCATTCACCATCCCCCTTGATGATGCTTAGACATGCCTGGTATGCTCCCACCCCATGGCCTTTGCACTGCTGTTCTCTTCGTCTGAAATGCTCTTTCCTAGATATCTCTGTAGCCCAATTCCTCATTTTCTTCAGGCCCTGTCATAATGTCTCTTATCTTAGACTTTTTCCTCTCCACCTTATGTAAAGTAGTATTCCTTCTTTCTTCATTTTCTTACCTTGATTTATTTTTCTTCATTATATTCTATATTTATTTGTTATCTTTCCTCCCAGACCCATCCTCTCACCCCTGCTGAATGCAAGCATCGTTAGAGCAGGATCTTTGCCTATGTTGTTTACTACTATATCCTCAGCATCTCGAATAGTGACTGGCACATAGTAGGAACTCAATAAATATGAATGTGTTGAATGAATGAATGATATCATTCCACTGTTTAACCTTCTTATTGGATCCTCAGTCCTTTTAAGATAAATTTCAAGTTCTCTGATGGGGTAGGCAAGTTTCTTCATGAACTCAGCTTTTTTTTTTTTTTTTTTTTTTACTTATTTAGTGTCATGTCCTGTCATTTCCTGGTATGTGCTACATGCAGATCCCCAAATGCTTCAGGCTGTTCCAGGCTTCTGTGCCTCCATCCAGGCTTTTCCCTTTGCTTGAAATGTCCTTCCACCTCCCCAGTCTTGACTCCCAGCTCGTCTCAGTTTCTGTCTCTGTCAAAGTTAGAAGTCCGTGTGGCAGCCTGTGCACACTTCTGTCGTATCACTTGTCACACTTTATTTGGCTCAGCCATTACATATATCTCCTTGAGTAGAAGAGGGCTACTCTCTTAGTATCTCTAGCCCTAACAAAATGCCTGGTATGTCATCCGTGCTTAATTAACCCTTGTATTTCATAGGTATGAATGGAATTATGAATGAATCAGTGACAAAACGCATGAACTTGATAGAGCAGTGGCAATTAATAGTACAATAGGGAAAAAACAAAATAAAAACTAAACACACAGCTAAAAGAAGTATTTCATGTTGTTTGGAGTGATTTATTATTGAAACAATCATGCTTGTTCCTAGTTGCTGAGGATATCATAATAATGATGATAATGAGTGTTCTTAATGATCAGGTTAATGATTACCTGAATAGGTAAGCGGGGATAATTATGTTCAAAGAGGTCTGCTTAAGAAGGCAAAGGCAGGGGAAAACGTTGTAGGAAGCTCTTAATCTGATTTGGTACCAAAATAAAGTTCAGGGCATTAAGGAGGTTAGGTTCAATTACATAGAAAATGTTAATGTAACACTCCTTCGTTCTGCAGTGGTGCTAACAAAATAAGACATTTTGCATCTCTGTAGAAATGAGAGCTAAGAAACTGATCGTATGGCTTCAGTCCTAATAGTAACATCTCATTTCCCAAAACTGGGTTGTTTTTTTGAAAATCTGCCTCCCAGATGAATAAAGTGGTTTTCCTGATATTCTCTCATGATCAGAGTTATCTTTGCCCTTGGTATTTCCATGACTTTTATCAACATCCCGGTGGAGTGGTTTTCCATTGGATTTGACTGGACCTGGATGCTGCTGTTTGGTGACATCCGACAGGGCATCTTCTATGCGATGCTTCTCTCCTTCTGGATCATCTTCTGTGGCGAGCACATGATGGTAAGAGCCTCCTGACAAAGGAAGCGACTAGAAGGAAGGGTCTGGAGTCAGACCGTTGGTTCAGATTCCTACTCTACCACTTACGAACTAGCCAGGTGGCCTTAGGCAAGTGATTTAATCACTCAGAATTTCAGGTTTCTTGTCTGTAAGGTGGAGTTTAAAGGCCTAAAGCATAGAGTTTTGTGAGATTTAAATGAGATGATGTATTTTTTACAGAAAGTAAACACACAAATGTCAACAATTACCACCATTTCCTCTGCTTTGGCTTCAGCTCTTCTTGTCCCCAGGACCAAGGTAACCCCCAGTGAATGTGGGCCTGGCTCTTTCCCACTGGCAACTTGTCCAGGTGGCCTAGTAACCCCTATTACCTCCCTGGTCTCAGTTTGCACACACATCAAATCATATTTTCAGGCGGGACTGAAGGTACCATGGATAAAAATAAGAATGGTGCAGTCATCACGTTGTGGCTAAGGTGATGTGCCAGCTGGAGCTTGCTCCTCCTGTCAGGCACAATCAGCTTCGTAGTAGTGGACTGTTTTTAAATCCCATAATGGTTTGATCATTGCTTCTGAAGACTTGCAGCCCTTGTAGGAGAGCAGTGAGAGGAGAGAGGTGTTAGCTTACGGCTGGGGTAGCCATAAGGGCCCCTCCAGCAGTGATGCACTGAGAATGAGCCCTCACAGCAGGGACAGGATACAGGAGACTCAGGTAGAGCAGCCTAGCCTGCCATGGTGGAGTGCCCAGAGTGAGTTGTGTGCAGTGTCCCCACCTGGGCTCCAGCCTGGCTGCTACAATTTGTCTTCTGCCTTTCCCTGTTTTCTCACTTTATATTCCTTCATTCTCTGTCTCTTGGTATCTTTCTGTATCTCTCAAGAGGAACCACTCTTGATTTTAATGAAGACAGGGAGAATATATGTCTATTATCCTAACCATGAGAGATATTGATATATCTCTTGACATATTTTAATGCCTTAGAGTCTTTATTTTGTCCTCTGGGCACCACCCACCTGATCAAACACAAGTGTTTAGTCACATAGGAATTCAACTCTGAATGAGTCCTTTTACAGACCATAGATCTTCCACTGCTGAGGGTACAAGACCTTTCTTTGGGTTCCCATAGCATCCTGTTCCTATTACTGTGAGGGCCCCTATGGGTGGGCTGATAACAATGAGCTCCTTTGGAACAAAGATTTTGGTCTTACTCATTCTCCTCTGCCTAGAGCCTAGCGTGATGCTTGATATACAACAGGTGTTTGAATGACTGACTTAACTATAGAAGTGCTTTGCTTTCCCCTGTCTCATTTCTCAATTTGGTTTTCCTCAGGATCAGCATGAGCGGAATCACATAGCAGGGTATTGGAAGCAAGTTGGACCAATTGCTGTTGGCTCTTTCTGCCTCTTCATATTTGATATGTGTGAGAGGTGAGCAGGTGCCTGTGGGGTCCTGGGCTAACATGTGCATCCCTATGTCCACTCCAGCTCCTTTAGAGGTATTCAAAGAGGGGAAGGGTGGCCGGGAGCCTATGGGGTGAAATCACTGGACATGGTCACATCCTCAGATAAAGATTGGGATTAAATCAAAGACAAAGCCCTTTATAGATGGAAGATATTTGTGCTGGCCCTATCCTTCAGACTCTGTTTAAGTCTGCCAGCCTTTCTTAGTCTAAATACAGCTCCCACCCCTCTGGCTGTGAGAAACTAAGAATGTGTAAAAAGAAAGTTCCCCTCTGCCTCTGTATTAATTGTGTCTTTCCATATCATTTTTCTTTGTAGAGGGGTACAACTCACGAATCCCTTCTACAGTATCTGGACTACAGATGTTGGAACAGAGCTGGCTGTATCCTTCCTTGCTGGGTTCAGGGTTTCATTTCTTGTCATAGCCACCTGGTCCCTCAAGATGATTTTCTAAGTCCTGCTAATGTTCTCCATGTGTGCTCGGCCAGAGCTTTGATCCTCAGACCAGTGATAATGGTGCAATTAAGGCAAATAAGAAGAAGAATGAATGCTTGCTTTTAAGCTCTGTGAGAGGAGGCAAAATGAAGAAGTTGCAGTGCGTCCTCACAGCAGATGGATCAGAGTTGCTAGTCTTACCACAGCCTGTCTAAATGATCTATACGCTTGTTTACTGCAGACTCCGGCATGGCTAGCTTTTCCCTGCAGCCACAGAGGCTCATATCTGGGCCCCTGTGGGAGAGCCCGTTTCCAAAGTCATCTGTGTGCGCGACTTCTCACAGTGACCTTGGTGTGCCAGCGTACGTGCTGCTGCCATTCCTTTCTGAGACCGCATGGAGATAAGGCTAAGGTGATTAGTTCCAGGGGAGTTGCCGACGCTTCTGGTTGGTTGGTGTAAACTCTGTCTGAGTCATCTTCATGAAGCAGAAGCGATGGTCTTAGCTTATCCCCTTTAGGATGCCGGATTTAAATATTTTATCTTCCTGAATAATATGTCAAGAGCTTTGGGAGAAAAAGACTCTCCTCTGGAGTTGGGGAGAAAGGCTGGAGTTGTATTATTTCCTGATGGATAATATCTTGTCACGTGCTGGTAAATAATGCTTTGTTCGGCCATGATGTTTATCTGGGCTTCTTAGTGTCACAAGAACTTTGTGAGCAAACTGATTCAGTAGTATCATTACCTTAAAGATGAGAGAGTTGATCTCACCATGACTCCCATCCTTCCTCTCCAAAATGTGAGCTGCACAACACGGGAAGTACTCATAATGTTAAGTCTACTTCAACCTTTTCATTGTACAGATATGATGGAGGTCCAGGGAGGCAAATAAAATGTCAGGTTTCCTCATTGCAGGGTACTGTTGGCTTTATGGAAGAAGGAGAAACTGCATTAAATGTATTACTTAATGAAATATACATGCTGAGTTCACACTTGTTAAAATTTTTTAAAATATGCAACTTGGGGTAGAGTTGGAGCAGAAAGGACTTGCCCTGCCTCCCAAGCCAGCTCAGTGTACCCCAAGCCAGCCTCCCAGTCACCTGCCTCCCAAGCCAGCTCAGTGTACCCCAAGCCTTGGTGGTTCTCAAGTTAAGCTTTAAAGATAGGTCTCAGGGTTGCCCTGATCAGTTTCAACGTATATACTGCCCCCACCCTCATCTCCCAATTTGGCCATCTGTCCTTCTGCCCCCTGTCCCATTTGACAAGATTTTTCTTGTGGTAACAGAAGATTGCAAACAGAATCTCCTCCCTGGTTTTACTTCAAGGACTTAGGTCCCATGCCCAGCATCCCTTCTAGCTGCTGTGGCTGCTCCCATCCCCCACTCCATCACTTCCTGATTCCAGGGTGTCTCACTCTTCTATAAAAGTCCAAGGACTAACTAGCCCAGTGGTTCTTAAACTTGATCCCTGCTCTTGGTTTCCCTGCTCTTGAAAAATCTGATTTCATATATCTTCAGTGAAACCTGGGCTGCATTTTAACACTTAAGGTGATTTTAATGCAGCATTCTACCTGATCAGTAATTTGCAACTGATATCCAGTATTTTAGTGCTTTTCAAATTTATTGTACATACATATCTCCTGGGGATCTTAAGAGGCAGATTCTGATTTAGTAGGTCTAAGGTGGGCCCTGGAATCTGCATTTCTCACAAGCAAGACTCCATTCCTCTTCTTCCTTGCCTCAGAGAGCAATTTGGTTCATTCCATTCTGTTGTACTTCTGTGTCAGAAAATCTCTATCACTGGCATTAGAATACCAGTTTTAATATTTTATCCTCCTGAAAATTGCCCAACTATTTGGAGACAGAGGGTGTTGTTGCCAACAGAGCTGAGACATGCTTGTGTCCCCAGCTAGCCTGCCATTTCCTTTACTGGAAACCATCAGATGGCCTTCATCATTGTGGCTGGCATCTGCCTCTGCCTCTACTTCCTGTTTCTGTGCTTCATGGTGTTTCAGGTGTTTCGGAACATCAGTGGGAAGCAGTCCAGCCTGCCAGCCATGAGCAAAGTCCGGCGGCTGCACTATGAGGTGAGCAAATCTCTTGGCTCATGCAGGATCTGGTTACTCGGTGTCTCCTGCTTGATATGTAAACACATACCACACACCTATACCTGGAGATTAGAAGCCTTTATTTCAAATACACATCGAGAGGTTCTCATGTAATGTAGGAGCTCTGGGCAAAATAAGAGGCTAAATCCAACCCTAAAAACACCTAGCTGGCCTGCATGGATCTTGGAGTTTTCTGTGGTATATATGTCTTTCTGTCCTCAGTAGGGGTGAACTTGTTCAGCAGGTTCTTCAGCTTTGGGGTGGAATGTGGGTGATACTAGATGGGAGATTTGACTAGGGCAGAATCAGCCTTGAGACTGGGCTTCAGCCCAGGTGATCTGATTTTTAGACTCCCAAGAGGCTACATTTCCCCTAAAATATCCAGCAGGTGATCAGATAGAATTCGGTAATTTCTGTTTATATATTATGCATCTCATTCAAGGGAAAACACTCAACATCCTCTAATCTCTAATACAAGCAACACAGTCTTAATTTTTCAAGGATCCCTTGGACTCATGCCTAAGTGGCTGTCCTTGGAGAGACATGGGCCTAATTCCTCCGTGAAAAGAAACAGAAACTGCAGAACCCCAGGGTTTTTATATGCAGTGGATCTGCAACTAAGCACCCCTGAATAAGAGGTGTCTCTCCCTGAAACACAGGTTCCCTTAAATCCTGCTCTCAGGAAACCCTGGGCACTTGCTGAAGCTTTGCCTGTCTCTAGAGCTGGAGTGACACATGAGAAAATTCAACCAAATCCACTTCATGTTGATTAATATGCACATTTCTTTTTGTTCACTGGAGCAGAATTTTATTACAACCGCAGAAAACTTGGATTTGGTGACTTTGAACCCTTGCAGAGAAGCATAACCAGCTTAGCAGGGAAATTAGCAGCCTCACCACGTGCTGTGAATATAATTTTCCCAGGCTCTGGTATCACTGTTTCATGAGAGATAAGAACATAAGAAATATTTGGCCCAATAAATTTTTCAGCCACATTCACCTCTGCAGGAGAAATGTTACTGTGTGAAATTATTTTACTAGTCACTCTTAGGGATTTGGTTTTATAGATTTCTTTAAAATTAGTTTTTTATAGATTTATATATTGAGAAAAGGATTGGTACCAGCTGGGAGAGTGTTAAGCTACTCTTTTTCTCCTTCCTAACAGGGGCTGATTTTCAGGTTCAAGTTCCTCATGCTGATAACCTTGGCCTGTGCTGCTATGACTGTCATTTTCTTCATCGTTAGTCAGGTAAGTGGATCCTGAATAGTCAGGGTGAGAATGTGCTGGAGAGGTGCGTCTACTCTGCATAGAAAATTCTAGAGAGCCGCTGAGGAAGGAGCAGGGAGGCTATAATGCTGGGCAGCTCTTCAAACCATGTTTTTTAAGGGACATTCCACCTGGCCAGAGGTGGACGGAATTTTCCCTTTCAGTACAGCCTCACGGGAAGAAGAAGTTGCTGAATAAATTAAAAGCCTGCAGCCAGATGGAAGGGCACTTATTTCATTTAGTTGAGAATACACTTTTCAAGCCCCATAGCAGAACAGCAATAAGCAAGTATCAGTTTGATTTGATCCTTATCTAGCATTAACATAGATCCTTTTACAGTCCATCAGCCATTCTTTGCAGTAATTATATTGCCACTTAAACATGAAATATAATTCACAAGTCCCCTTGATAGAATCTTACCTTTCTGCTGGTTATTTCCAAAACTCAAACTTTTGCTCTCTTGATGACCTCAATAATGGTAATAATGTTTAAATATTGGTAACTGGTTTGGGAAAGTGGAAAGTACTGTTTAAATCTGACATGCTACCTTTCTGTCATTCACTGGAGCTTCGCAAAAATCCTGTGGGGAAGTACGGTAAGTTTTGCTATCCCAGTTGCTAAGATAGGAAATCGAATGGCCTTAGAGACATTTCCCATTTGTGCTCTTTTCCAGCCGGGTAGGATTGTGGATGGGTTATTTCACAGTTCTAAGGTTGAATATTCTTATATGTAGAACGGATGTTCTGCAAAAGGTGGCTGTAAGGATCACGGGCAGCAATGCTTGCAAAGTAATTTGCAGAGTGCCTGGCACATCATGGGCAGGAATAGCTGTGCTCTTGTGAATAATAAAAAAAAAGGGTAAATATTGGGCCAAAGGACATTCAGTAAGTTAGGGACCAGAACCCAGTCCTTTTGACTTTTTCTTTTCTTTTTTTGCCAACTGTTCTGTCCTCTCTGTATTTGGCCCAAACTGAGAATGTAAGTAGTGCAGATAGAGCCTTAGGATGCAGATTTGTCTTGTTCTGCTAGCTTATTTCCTCAGAGGGGCTCCTGTGCTTTCTTGTGCCATAGACCAACCCCCTTGAGCAACCTGGTGGAGGCTGTGGGCTTCTTCTTGGAATGTTTTTAAATGAGTAAAATAAAAACTTTGGACTTCAAAGGGAATCAGATATATAGGTATTTGCAATTCTATACGTTACAGATATTACAGATCTATATCTATAATTGTGATTGATACGAAATTATGATTTCTATTGGTGGCAGAATTATCAGTGGTGCTAATATTAACAGGAACTTGTTTTCTACATTCATAAATGAAAGAAATGGTAACTTTCAGTTAGAAACGGGTGAAAATAAAGATATAATTGTTCTCATTCCGGTTCATGGACCTCTTGAACTTTATGGAAGGACACCCAAGGGCACCTCTGACCCAAGTTAGGAGCCCCTCGAGCCATGTGGGCTCTGCCCACTGGGCAGTGTTAGTGTTGCTGTTGAAGGCTGACGTGAATGTGGAAAAAAAAAATAAAACAAATATGCATATCTGTCTTTATAAGTTCAGCTTACCACATGTGCTGTGACCTACACCAGTGCTGTGTTTGTATCAGACTGTTTGTTTATAAAGCCTTGGAAATTTCACTCGCCACTCCAAATGCAGTAAAAATATTTCAAATTCTGAATGAGTTTTTTATTCAACCAGCTGAGACTCAAACAAGGGTGTCTGAGGCCTGACTTATCCTTTGGCCAGTTCCCTCGTGTGACCGGAGTGTCCAGCCCTCCAGTGCCGTGGTAACGCGCTGTGGTACTTAATATGGCCAGTTGGGGGAGTCCGAGAGAGCAGGGTGTGCTTGGAGAAAAAGAACCTCAAGTTAAACTGGACTGAAGAATAAAAGGCAATCCCAAGATATGTTCCCAGGGAGGCAGAAAGAAAGGGCACTTTTGGTCCTAACAACATGTGTCTGCCACCTTAGAAAGCTGAAGGCACACCACCACAGTCCCCATGCCACTCACCCTCCTGCCTCTGCAGAGGGTCCCTTCCACCTGAAGCCAAGAAGGGACAACTGGCCGATCTTTGAGGTACCTATGTGTTTCCCGAATTTAGCCTTGTATATGTTAGATAGCGCACCTTTTTAAAGCAAGGTAGGCCAATTCTTCTAAGGAGCAGAGTTTGTGGCTTTTCTTTGGAGAAAAAGATTAATATTCCATTGCCCCAGTATTTTCTAACATAGCTCCAGCCTGTGGCTGGCTTTTTATATCTGCCGCGACAGTCAGCCCGGAGTGGATTTCTACTCCAAGGGGGTAGCAGCGAGTTCTTTTGGATTCCATTAGCTCCTCACATTCCTCCTGCTGGGTTATTTTTTTAAGGTTTATTTATAGATATCTAAGACGTTTTCAGGCATAACTCTCAATGTCCCAGGTACTGTACTAATATAGTCATCAGAGGATTTATTTTTTAATGTCATTTTGGAATGTCTCAGCAATGAGCTCACCTGAAAGAAAACCTATTGGGTAACTTTTTGAAATAGATCCCAGCCTTAGGTAAAAGGAATGTATTAAAACTCCCATTATACTCTCGGGCTTGCTGAGAGAGCTTGCATTTAAGCCCCATGAAATATAATGCAAGGGGATCTCGCCAGGATATTGAAGCTCTGAGGCCAGGAATGAAGGGCTAACAGGAAGCTGTGGAATGCAGTGACCTTGAGGCTTTGTAGCTGGGTCCTGAGGGGCAGTCTTTTAATGCCTGCCATTTTAATGGCCTCAGTCATAGCAACCGAGAGATGGTACATCACAGTCTGGTATTTTAGCCCCTTCCCTCTGGAAAAGAAAGAGGCGTTCCGTTTAGAGGTAGCGGACAGTAGGGAACAGAAGTGCAATGCAGGGAAGAAGGTCACCAACCTTCACTAAGGGGACCCCCAGGTGCCTGACATTCAGGTCAAGCCACATGCAGCAAACTCCCAGAGAGCCTGTCCCCGGCTCTTTTGTGTGTGTGTGTGATCACTTCATTCTGTCACTTACGGAGGAAATGTTTCCAGTAAGAGAGCCTGTGTCTGGGATTTGGAAATCTTGTTGTTAAGTGGAATGTTGGTTGTCAAGACTACTGGGTGTAAAGGGATTTGACCTTCACTTGGCTCCAGGGGTATAATTGGGTGGTTTCACACAAAAGTAAATTGTTCAAATGTTAAATCAGGAAAAACAGGGACTTTTAGAAACAAGACTTATGCAGGGGGAAGATGATTTTCTTTTCTTTTCTTTTCTTTTTCACTGGGGGCTATCTGATTTTTTTCTCCAGAAGTTAAAAGAGGGTGAGTGTCACCTCTCTGCCTTGGTGTTAATAAGATTTTGGATTTACAGGGCCTGCCTACTCTGTTGAGGCTGCTTACTGTGGTTCACGTTGGTGGGAATGTGCTCAGAGCTCAGGAGGTCTCAGGCAGGAATAATTGAGGGAGGAGAAGGGCAGGCACACACAGTCGAGTGACACTGTGTATACGGCTCACTTATGCAAATTCAACTCTTTGCCCTCAGCAGGAAATAATACATTTAGAGATGACAAATTATGGGTACGGGTAATTCTGCAACTCCATGCTAAACAAGGTGCATGTGTCTCACAGCAGACATGAGACAGGGGCACGAATCTGCTGTGGCTCCTCAGGCCACCTGAGGTACCCCTCGTGGTATGAGCATTCTCATTTCAGTGGTTCTACTGTAAAGTTGTATTTTGCATATATATCCAGTTTATTATACCATACATTACTATGTCTAGGATATATAGTGCGTATATATTGCTATACGGATTTGAATATATGAACCTGTGTATAATAATGTGCATTATGGTTAATTGAGTTTTCAAAGGAAGTTTGGTCTTCCGCAATAGTGGCTTCATATGCCAACTTAACACACTCACCCCTGTTTACAATAATATTCCTACTGTTGAGAATACCTTCTTTTGGAGTCAGAGCCATGACTTTCTGGCTGAGCAATCTTGGGCGAGATAACGTACCTCCCTATGGCATAGTTTACCATATGTTGAGTGGAAATAGTACCTGCCTACCTCATAAAGCTGTTATTAAGACTGATCTCTTCCATGTAAAATTCTTACTGTAGTGCCTGACATATTAGCTTTGAATAAATGTCAGCTATCATTATCTTTGTTATTATTTTAAAATGTCTTAGCTTTGCTAATATCTGTGTTAGAGAGCAATATTTAAGTGAAATAACACTACCCATTGACGTCTTACTTCTAAGTAAAAGTATCATTATTTACTATGGAATGCAATTTTTTCTCTTTACTTTGCAATCTGATATTTTCTTAGAGTGACTGTTTCTATCCTCCCTTTCTATTTCCATGGATTTGCACTTGCATTCCTGCACATGCCAGTACTTTTGTCCATATTCATTCAACAACCGTCTGTCTGTCGAGTACCATTGTGTACCAGGAATACAGGTGACTGTTTTCTTGAGATCAGTCATGCCAGTCCTGACAAGAATCCATTTCAGCAAAATTCAGTACTGAGTATTCCCAGCGTATGTCATTGGAAGTAGGGTCTCTTGAAGGCCCTTCCCTTATTGAGGGACCCGCCGCCTTAACAGAGTGGAAGAAAATCAGAACTGTCTTACTCCATTTTACCGACAGTTCCCATCCCAGCCTCCCCTCCTCCATCACACAGAACGGTTCTCTTTGTTATGACAGCAGGTACATATATTTCCAGAACTACCTTAAGACTTCCTCTCCTCTTCCATTATATTCATTAAAAATCATCTTAAGTATGCCCTAAGTACTGTAATTTTTATAAAGTTAGGATATTCTTCTTTAAGAAGAGTGACATTTGGAGACATTGCTAAAAAGTCAGCCCTAAGTAGCTTGAATGCTTGTACATTGTTCTAAAATCAATAATGGTTATGAAATTCTTCTTGGTCAAAAAATATTCCTGAGCACATCATATCAAGTGAATTATTTTTGAAAATAAATAAGAGTTTGCAATGGTGGTTTATGCATCACAAAAATGAAAAATTATGTGTCATCAAGGCCGAACTAAAACTGGTAAGTCTACAGTTAACTTAATTAACTGACACTCCAGGTATTTCAAAAGGAAACACCTGTACTTACAGCTTTATTATGCCTGGGGCCCCTGGGGTCGCGGGCTATAAAGACGGTGTCAAATGAATACAGATACCATCTGTATCAGATACAAATGAATAGATTACCATCTTACACTTTAGCTCCAAGAAGGGTCTCCTAGAGATGGTTTACATAATGCAGTCTCATTAAGTTATCACAGGAACATTTGTCCAGTATTCTTTTACTCCCATTTAAGATTTCCTGTAGCAAGCAGAAGTGGTCAGAGTCGTTTCATTGATCTCAGAGCTGACACAAATGTTTAGTCACTCGGGTCAACAGTTCTGTTGACAGTTCTTAGTGTAATCCATGCCATCAGACAGCCCTCAAAACAATTATCAAGTCATTAACATAGACAAAACCAGCCTCAAAACATTCTTGTAGAATTATAAAGCATATGAGAGCTTCATAATTACCTTCATGAGTGACTTACATAGAGTGACAATGTAAGACCTAAGATTTATTGTGTTTACTGTGTGTCAGGACATTTCTAGGAATATGGTTACTTAATTCTCCTCAGTAACCCTGCAAGTTTTTATATTGCCCTTAAGGTCATTGAAGTTCAGAGTCTTCATCTTAACTTCACTTACATTAAGCAGAGAGTGCGTGGTAAAGTCTGCATTGAACCCCGTCTCTGACCCCAAGCCTGTGTCTCCCTGCTTCCCCACTCTGCCCCACTAAGGAAAGCGACTCACTCTCACTCATTTGCTTCTTTAATCAGCTTGTCTTCATTGCGCCACTGTGATGCGTCAGGCACCGAGGGTATGGCAGTAAACAAGTCAGAAATGGTTTCTGCCTACAGGGCATTACATCTAGCTGGGAAGAGGACAGAAGAGGAGTTATAGTTATGGATAAGTGTGAGACTCAAACACAATTTCTTTTTTTTTTTTTATTTTTTTTTAACGTTTATTTATTTTTGAGACAGACAGAGACAGAGCATGAACAGGGGAGGAGCAGAGAGAGAGGGAGACACAGAATCGGAAACAGGGCTCCCAGGATTCAGAGCTGAAGTCAGTATTGAGAGCCCGACACGGGCCGAACTCACGGACTACAGAGATCGGGCGATTCCTGAGTCAAGATGACTTAACCGACCGAGCCACCCAGGCGCCCCCAAACACAATGTCTTTAAATTAAGGCTAACTATGTACTGCTGTTCAAGGAAGAGATACTCTCCGGGTGATTCTGATATACAGCCAATGTGAGAACTACTGACTTTGTACCTGACACACAGTAAGCCCTCAGTGAACCTAAATCCATACTGGTATGATTTAGGTTTTAAAAGGAGTCTTACATGGCCCTTTAGTTTTCCTGGAGGTTAGAAGACATTTGGTTTTTGTGTTGATTGGCCCTTGTCTTGGTGTTATGTTTCTTCTTGGTTCTAATTGCATGTCACTGTCCTTTTTCCATAGGTGACTGAAGGCCACTGGAAGTGGGGCGGCGTCACAGTCCAAGTGAACAGTGCCTTTTTCACAGGCATCTATGGAATGTGGAACCTGTATGTCTTTGCTCTGATGTTCCTATATGCACCATCCCATAAGAACTACGGGGAAGACCAGTCCAATGGTGAGTTTCAGTCTCTTTAGAACAGCTGTATTCAGGATATAGGCTTCAGTCTCTATAAGGCTCACATAGCAAAGGCTCTGGGTTCCCCAGGCAAACTTTCCCTCCAAATGTCAGTGAGTGCCCCTAGGGACTGCAGAGCTATAAGACAAAAAGCCAGCACAAGGCAGGTATTTCTTTAAGTCGTCTTCTTTTTTTGTTTTTAATGTTTTATTTATTTTTGAGAGAGCACAAGCAGGGGAGGGACAGAGAGAGAGGGACCAAGGCTCTGAAGCAGGCTCTGCGCTGACAGCAGAGAGCCCCATATGATGGGCTTGAACTCATGAACCACAAGATCATGACCTAAGCTGAAGTAGGATGCTCAATTGAGCCACCCAGGTGCCCATCTTCTACTTTCTTAATCTTTAAGTATTAGGGATACAGCATTCTAGCCTGAAACATGTGCCAGTTTTAGTATAAAACTTAAATTTGCTTTCCTTAATTTTTTGAGCAAAATTGACTATTGGAGATTATGCCATATTTATTCTTCTAGTTTGAGAGGCAAAATCTTAAGGTATCATGTAGAATGGAACTAGGTCCTGAGATTTGAAGATTGAGCTGGATTCATTTTTTTCTCCTGCTCATTCTTCTGCAAGGCTGTTTGTTGACCTGCATCCAGACCAATAGCTATTTACCTACCTGTCTCCATGGCCTTCTTCTTAAGGGCAGTTGGTGCTACCAGGAGCCTTAGGGAACTTAGCCAGTCCGGTTATTTTGTAAGTGATGAAACTGAGGCCCAGAGAAAGGAAGGGCTTGCCTGGGGTTTCTCTGCCAGCCATAACAGAGGGAAATGACTGTCACTGCCTAGGCCATGCTCTTAACTTGGAATAGGTGCCCTGCTAAGTGACAGATCTGAGAGCTCCTTTTTCTTTTGAATACTTAGTCCTACACTGTTTGGCTGCACCCTTATTCTTCCTTCTCTTTTTCACACCTGCTTTACCTTAGCCATTTACTTGCTATTCCTCAAATATAAGGTGTTCTTTCTCAAATCAGAGCTAGTGCCCTTCACTGCCTTGGAGCAGAGATCAGGGCTTGAAGGTCTGCATGTGTGCTATGGCACCACAGGTGGGTCTTGCTCATAGGAAGTTCTTACCATGTGTGTGTTGAATGAATGGATTCATATCCTATGTCCATTTGGGCCTAATAAAACCCTACCCATCTTTTGGGCACATTCAAAATGGTTCCTTTTTCTTGAAACCTATTCCTCATCACTCCAGTTGCAGATCAGCAAACCGTGTTCAAAAGAATATTGTTGCCATAGGATGTTGATAGGTTTTAGTAGTCAATTTGAGAATCACTGGGTTTTTAATCAGCATTAATGAGGTTTTTATTTAAAACATCTTAATGCCTTTAGTACATTAATTTTTACTGTAAGTCATTTTAAATGGGTAGGAGGAATAGTGTTTCCCCAGATTACTTTTTTATAAAGTTTATTTATTTTGATAGAGAAAGAGAGAGAGGGAATGAGCTGGGGAGGGGCAGAGAGAGAGGGAGAGAGAGGATCGCAAGCAGCCTTAACACGGTCAGCACGGAGCCCAATGCGGGGCTTGAATTCACGAACCATGAGATCATGACCTGAGCCCAAATCAAGAGTTGGACGTTTAACCAACTGAGCCACCCAGATGCCCCTCCAAATTGTTAAACCGTTTGGCACCGGACCCCTTTTTCCAGGCACTGTATTTGTTTGGAACTAGTGTTCTAAGGAACAGGCCTGGGGGAACATGATTACACATTTCATATGACACTGCATAAATGTAATAGATGAGTTTGCCTGTGCCTTCCCTTTCCTGCTGGAATATTAACTCCTTAAGAGCCAAGGACAGGTTCTTAAGGGTGGTTTGAAAGTGTTGATTGAATTAATGCTTCAGAAATAAGAGTTCTAGATTAGTTTTCATATTTCACAGATGGGCCAATGATCTTGAGAGTTGGGGTAAAAGGACGGGGCGATGACATGAGAGGAGATGATGTGGGAAGTGAAGGGCATCTGTGCTGAGGGTGGGGATAGTGACTAGTCTCAACCACCATCCACCTCCAGTACTATACCTGCCGCTTCTGTGCAAGAGCATCCTTCAGGCCGGTCTTCCTCCCTCCTCCTTGGCTGGTCACACTCAGTGTGGGAAATGGGGGCACATGGCCTCTCAAACAGTGGACCTCCATAACACCAGCAGGAAGGGACTCTGGGCTTGTGAACGAGAATCTTAATTTCATTTCATGGTCATCCTGTTGGACTTTGACAGAAATCATATGGACGTGTGTGTGACTTGAGAATATTAAGCAGGAACCCAGTAGGTGAAGTTCCTCCCTTCCGGGGAAATACCACATAAAGCAGTCGCTGGACTTCCTAGGAAGTTGGAATAATACTACTAATGGGTAATAGTTATTGAATTCTGACTGTGCTAGGCTGCTCTATGTAAACTATTATGGTTGTTTTTTGTTATGTGACGAGTGGCAGACTGCTTAACCTCTCTGTGTACCATTTCTCCCAACTGTAAGTGATCTCTTAAAGTCTTTTGGAACCATAAAATTCTGTGGTTCTCTTCCTTCCCGTTGGCAAAGAAGGAGCAGAAGAGCACCTCCTGTCCTAAGGTGGCAGCCCAGAGGGTGATTCTGTCATAGGTAAGGGGTTTCCAAACACTGGTGAGATTTGCCCATCCCGGCACTTTTAGGTACCTGAGAGGCCAGAGCCATGGCCCAGCCTGCAGTGGAAGGATGACTGCCCGCCATGCTATTGGACCAGAGGCTTGATGTGCAAGCCAGATGTCAGGCAGCTCCTATTAGGACTTCTTACTCTGCACAACAGCCACCCCCTGAGGCTTGAAACCTTGCAGTTGAGAATAGCACTTGATCTGTTCCCCATCAGAGTTTTTTGTTTGAAGGCAGCTTGACCTGTAATTTCACAAAAAGTTCAAAAGCTAGTTCTCAGCAGGTGGTCATATCCCCCAAATCCCTTGCCAACTGGCGTTCAGAAGTATTCATGGTTTTGTTTTGATTTTTTTTTTTTTTGGATGTCACTACGACTGGGACATACCACTAGCATTTAGTGGCCAGATTCTAGGGATGCTAAATATCCTTCAATGAGCAAAACAGTCCCTTGTACTAGAGAATTACCCTGCCTAAAATGCCGATAGAACCCATATTGAAAAACATTCTTCAAGCAGTTTCATGGGTAGACTTTTTTGGGACCCTGTTCTGATCATAAACACAAGTCACACAGTTGAGTAGTTCTGTGATGGTGACATGATCAGCTGTGACTTCACAGCAGCCCATGAGCACCTGGCAGTTTCTTGTGCCCTTCCCTTCCCATGGTCACATGGTACTGTGACCTTGTGCATTTGGAAGGGAGTCTTCCATGTTGGGTTCTCTGATCATTTTCCTTCTCTACCCTCTTTCACTTTTCATCTCTTCATCTGTTGCCAGACCACACAATGTCTCCTAGGAACTATGGAGCATTTGCCAAAATTTTGAAGCTCCTTGGAAAGAGCTGGTCTGGAATATCACATAGAAACCTAGAAAATGAACTTCTGTATTTTAAAATTCTCTGGGTCTCTGGATGACATCCCTTCTCCTCCCCCAGCCTTCCCCTGCTCCTCTTCCTTTCTCGTGGAAAGTTTTTATTTTTAAGTTGGCTTGGGCTCCCCCACACCCCCACCACCTTGCTTTTAAGGTCTGGAGCCAAGAATTCAGTTCTCCTGCTATGGAGAATGAATCCCAGGTTTGTGGTGCTTTTTGCCTTCGTGAGACGGATCCTGAAGAGACCTCTGGAAAAAGCTCCTTTCCAGGAAGTTGGCAGGCAGTTTCTGATGCAGCCAAAGGGGATAAGGAAAGAGAAAGAACATTGAGAGGGGTTGTTTTGTTTGGACGTGGAAAGAGATGCCAAGTGTCAGGAGGGAGTGGGTAGGGAGGAAATGAAAGCAGAGGGCATAGATTTGGTTTCTCCCTTTTGGTCAAGGAATAGACTGACAGAAACAAAGCAGATGGCAAGTTCTAGAAAGGGTCAGCTTCCAAAGAGCGTTTGTTTTTCTTATATATATGTTTTTCTCTTTTATTATGTGCATCAGGAAGCGACCCTTAGAAATAAACCACTCAGTGCTTCAGTATTTAGCACTGTGTCAGGTTTGATAAGATGGAGTGACATGAAGCCCAAAGGAGTGACTAAGACAGAGTCCCTGCTCTCATGGAGAGCTGGTAGCCTTGTCTGAGAGACCAGGCTTCCTTGACTGCCTCCTGAAACTCGGGATATGGCAGAACATCTCCAGGCCAGAATGCCCTCATGTTTTTAGCAGCTCACTGGTGCTGCAAGGATGTGAAGCTCTATGGGTTCCATCTTTTTGGTTGATTTACCATAGCTGCTGGTACCAACATGTTTACATGGATCAATTTTATATACATACATATATATATATATGACTCTGTATCTATGTACATATGTTTATATATAAACATTTTATGTGTATGTGTACATATATGTATACACATATACAAACATATATGTAAATTTTTTTAATTTAGCAGAGATATTTTAGAACTCTCTTTCAAGGACCATTCACATTTTCTGCCCTGCTCCTGCTGCCTTTTCATTAAAGTTGTTCTTTTTTACCTGTTTCCAATAGCAATTTGTGAGTCATTCTGGATGTCTTCCCAGGCAGGAATGGATCTCAGCTAACCTTAGGTTGGAGTGAAGACAGCATCTCCCAGGGGTTCAGCATCGATGTCCTGCACACACGACAAACTGTCCAAATCCTTTCAGACATCAGTTCTCGTGGGGAAAAAAAGTTGGAGTTGCTTATAAAGTCAGAGGATTCTTAATAATAGCTTTGATTTTTGTGTTCTTTCGTCTATAGAATTCTTGTCAGAAGGTTTTAGAAAAAAACTGAGGAACGGAATTCCTGACTGGATGACTATGACGAAGGGAACAGGAGACACTCTAATTGCCAACCGGTTCCTTTCTATTTCTATTCGCACTA